GGTGTCATGCACACTAGAAAATTAAAACGGCCGTCACGGTTAAATTACTTACTATTTCGGGTCCGAAAAATTAGTAAATATTCCTCAGACGTTCTAAAGTAAAGGTGAACAGCGTTTTTCTTAAAAATATCACTGTTACTGTAGTAAACAAAAATTCGGAAAGTTCTCGCTTCGTGATTTGTTCGATACTTCGAACGCGGCTCGAGTCCGTCCCGACCATCTGTCAAAGCCTCGTGCTGCGGGCTCTCGAACTTCGCGCCATCACCTCTCATTGGTCAGTGTTTTCCGTTAATAACTCGTAAACAAAACCGCAGATTGCATTTTCGCAAAGGAAAAAGTTACTTCAAATGACCTTAGCTACCCCTCATTTTCGGCTGTTAAAATAATTGTGGAACACCCTGTATAATTCACATAGTATAGGAACTATAATATATATATAATATATAATAAATCATTCTGTAATACTAATGTTTTAGGGTTCTGAATACTGTCTTGCCGGATTAAGTTTCTTGATTACTGGTGTTTTGGATTGTCTAGAAAGAGAAGAAGCTGAAGAACTTATTAAAAAGTATGGTGGACGAGTTTTACATCAAGTTTCTAAGAAAACTGATTATGTCATAGTTGGCGATGACCCTGGTCCATCAAAAATATCAAAGGTAATATTAATTATTGTAGTATTAAATACTGGTTCTTTACATAAACAAATTTTATGATCTATAATGGCATGTGCACATTTGTGTTTAGGCAAAGAGTCTGAATGTAAAACAAATATCGGAAGATGATCTCCTAGAAATGATTCGAACAAAAAAATCAGGTCAAATTCAAGATGTAAAACAGTCTCGTACAAAATCAAAAGATAGAACGAAACAAAAACACATAGATTCGGATAGTACGTCTTCCTCGTTACCTAAACAACCAAAAACTGCATTAAATCAAGAAACAGAAAAGTCAGCAAAATTACAACCGCCTAATAAAAATGGAAGTGGAGACGGTGTTATAGAAAAGATGCAAAATAAAGAATATGCTGATGAAAAAGCAGAAAAGATTTCACCTAAGAAAATACATGATGATAGAGACATAATGGAAAGGGTAATTATGAAAGATGATAAAAAAGAAGTGAAGGATATTAAAGATCTACAAATGAGAACTGATTCGTTACAAAATGTGAGATTTATCATTTAAGTATAAGTTAAGCAGATAAATTTTATGAGATCTTATGTTTATGTATATTTACAGATTAATGTAGATGTACCAGTGCAGTCTTTGGTTGAAAAATATAGACCTAAATCTATGAAACAGGTTTTAGGTCAGCAGGGAGACAAAAGCAATGCAAAAAAATTATATATGTGGTTAAATAACTGGCATAAAAATCAAAATGGTCAAGTGAAGCGTACTAAACCCAGTATGTTTCAATGTTTAAGTTACAATAATTTCATATTTTCTATGTATTTCGATTCATTTTACTTATAATAATATATTTTTATGGTGATGTATTTTTTCATTGGCATTAGATCCATGGGCGAAGAATGATGATGGAGCTTTCTTTAAAGCTGCCCTGTTATCTGGACCACCTGGAATTGGAAAGACTACAACTGTTCAAGTTGTTTGTAAGGAATTAGGTTTTGATCTTGTAGAGTTCAATGCATCCGACACCAGGAGCAAAAAACTTTTAAAAGAGAGCGTATCCGAACTTCTATCTAACACTTCATTAAAGGATTATTTCATAGGTACGCATGCTTTATAAATATATATATTATAATATATATATATTTATTATTAATATATAGAGATGGTAGTAAATGTTAAGTAAGATTCAAATCTGTCATATGTTATAGATCCTAAAAACAAACCAACATCGAAACATGTGTTATTAATGGACGAGGTAGACGGTATGGCTGGTAATGAAGATCGTGGTGGTGTACAAGAATTGATTAGTTTGATTAAATCAACCGAAGTACCAGTTGTTTGTATTTGTAATGATCGAAATAATCCTAAGATGAGAACGCTTGCCAATTATGTTTTCGATCTCCGATTTCCAAAGCCTAGATTAGAACAAATTAGGGTAAAATGAAACTGTTCTAAATATGAATATTTAGCTTGATTCTTCATAATATATTTTTTCATTAAAAGTAATTATTTATACAGGGAGCTATGAAATCTATATGTTTTAAAGAAAACATTAATATTTCTACGGAAAATTTGGATCGCTTAATCGAATCAACTAATCAAGATATACGACAAGTAATAAATCATTTAGCTTTGTTTGTTGGAAAAACTGGTACCCAAGAAAAGTCTGAGAAAAAACACATCAACAAAGATCTAAAATTAGGGCCTTGGGACGTTGTGAAAAAAGTATTTTCTGCTGAGGAACACAAACAGATGAGCATTCATGATAAAAGTGACCTGTTTTTTCATGATTATAATATAGCACCATTGTTTGTACAAGAAAATTATTTATTGGTTACACCACAAGGACCAAAGTATGTACAAAGTAGTATATTTTTTCTCTATATAGCCAGAATTAATAATATTTTGTTTTATTTATTTCATGTCTTATTCTTACACAGAAGTAAATTGTTAGAAAAAGTAGCTCAAAGTTCTGAAAGTTTAGCATTAGGAGATATAGTTGAAAAATCAATAAGAAGTAATGGATCTTGGTCTCTTTTGCCTATGCAAGCTTGTTATTCTTCTGTTATACCTGGAACTATAATGTCTGGTCATGTTGCTGGTCAAATTAATTTCCCTGCTTGGCTTGGGCGTAACTCGAAAGCTGGTAAATTTGATAGGTATATATATCTATTTCTCTCTCACACACACATACACACACACAAAATACATTATGATCCTTATACCATTTATGTAAAAAATTTTTATTATATTGTAGATTAATGCAAGAGATAACCGTGCATACACGGTTAGCTACTGGTGCAAGCAAAGAAGCTATAATTTTGGATTATATTAAACCTCTCAGAGATGCTATTGTTAGACCACTAGCAGTTGATTGTAGTGAAGGGGTAAATGCAGCAATAGATGTTATGAATCATTATCACCTGCTCAGGTTAATTTTATTTATGAATAGAAACAATACGAATGTATGTAGAAAAAACTCGGTCTTTAAAATATTTGTATTTTTTATGTTAGGGAGGATTTAGATTCTTTGATAGAAACTTCTTTGTGGCCAGGTGATCGTGATCCTATGCAAGTTATTGATAGTAAGGTCAGTTTCACTTATTATTATACTTGATTGAATAATATTAAACCACGTAAGCAACAAAATAAAATGGAAGCTTGTGTTGTAGGTTAAGGCAGCCTTTACAAGGTCGTACAATAAAAGTTCTATGGCTGTTCCATACACAGTCAGTGGTGTGCCAAAGAAGAAAACTGCACAGAGTAAAGAGGAAGAGGGTTACTTAGGAGATGAAAACTCCGAAGAGGAGAATTCTGATAACGATAATATAGAATCTGATAAAATGATCAAGGTAAATTAACATTATTGAATATCACTGAAACTTAACAACAAATAACTCTTATGTATCACTTATAATATATTTCTAGGCGAAAAAGGCCACCTCCAATAAGAAAACAGAATCAAAAAGTAAAGGTACAGACACGAGTACAACGAAAAGGAACAGTAGTGATAAGCCCTCAACTAGTAAACGTGGAAGGGGCCGCGGAAAGGCAAAATAACACAAGCATATACTGTGAAGTTTGAATGTGAGTTTTATTCAACGAAACGGAATGATATTGATATTTCAAAATGCATTGTTTGTCATTAAATTTGTATCATTCATTTATTTTACTTATTCGTTGTACGCGAAATGAGATTATAAATTATATCTTCAACTGTCATGTGATTTGAAGTACAAATATGTTTGCTTGGAATGATAATATTAATAATATGTAAAGTGTTTTTACTCCTCAATGGATTCAGCCGTTTCAGTCGTTTCAGGAGCCGCAAGTTCCGATCTGGTTTGTACACATTCTAAAATAAGTAAAAACAATTGCTAATTTGGCACTTAACAAATCATAAATTCTCAACTGTAATTTTCATATTTGTTTGATTATCTGAATTCGTATATCTATATACACAAATTGTACTATTGTAAGAATACTATATTAACTATACTATTGTAAGAATACATACTCTTTGCTCTAGGTTTCCATCCAATGTACTCGTTAGTTTTCTTGTTCTCCTCCGTGAGCCAATCCGTTAATGGTTTGAAATATTCTAAGAGTCCAGTGGTATCCATGTTCCTTTGGCCAGTGATTTTTTCCATTGCATCTTGCCATGGCTTAGAGGAACCCAATTCTAACATTGATCTAATCATAAAAAAATAATACGATACATAAATATGCAGTAGCCGAGGAGTTAATTAATTTCTTAAATACATTTAAGATCTTATACTTACTTCAACAAGTTTCCTGCTGCTTTATTGTTGTAAATATCACATTGATGCAGTAGTTTCGAGTCTGGATTCTTCGGATCGTATTGTTTTGCTTCTATACAGAGTGCTTTATGGAACTGGAATTGCACAATGAAACTCACATAATATCTAATATATTCTACATCAGCTATTATATGATATTTCGCGCCAGGATCAAAATCATCTTCCGATCGATCCACCGGTGCCTCAATACCTTGGAAGCTCTCAATAAGATCCCACCTAACGATTAAAAGTGAGACATATATATTTATCATATCTTTCAGGAAACAGAATTTACTGTCTAAATGAGATTACAAGTTTTCTCGATTTCAGATCACATTGTAAATAATAGTCATTGGTTTTTATAAATAAATAGATATTTTCTAGAATATGTATTTACTAACCAGTTGCAGTTGTAATTGTCTGCTGTAACTTCACCTTGGAATACATTCCATCGCCATTTGTCCATCATATACGCGAATGGCAAAAAGACAATTTTATCGAGACCCTTCAAGTACAGATTGTTAATGTTGGCCTCTTTGTCGTTTGCATCATCGCTCAACAAGCTAAGATATAAACATAATAGTGATATAAACATAATTGAAAATTATATCTGCTATATAAAATGTTTTATTTACTTGATACTTTTCAGGTGACTGGGTGTCGATGCACTGAGTGCTATAACATCACCTACAGCTTCATGGAAGCCTGGATTGGCACCCTCTTTGAAAATAGTGGGTTGATTTTTGTATTGAAGATAATATTCAATATGTCCCATTTCGTGATGGGCCGTCAATAGATCCTCCATGTTTATTCTTGTACACTGTTTAATACGAAAATCTTTGCCGTCATAGAAGTCCCAAGCGCTTGCATGGCAAATCATCTCACGATCCTTCTGCTTTTCTAAAATTGACCGTTCCCAGAATAAGTCGGGCATAGCAGTCAAATTTATCGAAGTGAAGAAGTCTTCGGCAACTTGGAAAATCTTTGTTGCATTATATCCTGAAAAAACATAAGTAATTATCTTATAAATGTTGATACATTGGGTCAACTAAATTTTAATCTGTTTGCTTTATTCTCATAATGAAAGGTTTGTATAGAGTTCATTAATTAAATTGTATAAGTCAAGCATATACTGCAGAATAAAAGAGCAATACGAACGAATGTAGCAATATAAATAATTTAAAAAAAAATTTGAGTATACCTTGTTCAACCATAGCCTTGGTAGCATCTGGCAATTGTTTCCCTGGATATGGGATCGTGTAGTCCGCAATGTTAGACCAAGTTTGTGCCCACATATTACCCAATAAATGTGCTGGGATAGGGCCATCCTTGGAAACGATCTTTTCACCATATTTCTTTCGAAGTTCTCGTCGGACATATGCGTGCAATTGCAGATAGAAAGGTTTCAGTTTTTGCCAGAGGTTTTCTAAAATGGTGGAACATTACAAAACTCGATCATGCGTTTAAGTAATCTTTATAAATTTCTAATTTAAGAATTTCTTTAACGAAGAAATGGAGCGAAAGTGATTATATAAATTCCGAATTTGTTACAATCTTTTTCTTTTTTTACAACTTAGTTACAATTATTCAAATAAATTTGGCTCGTTTATTAAAATAGGAAGTATTTCCTTGGTAGTAAATTTAATCAAATTAATATTTGTTTAAAAAGTTCTATGGTATTCTATCAGCTCCTTATCTCAGTGGTTGAGGACTTATTCCCATAGCGTTTTAACTTATGTTACGTGTATGTACTTTGATGTATTTACCAATTTGTTCTGGGAAGTCATCGGCCTCGTAATCCTTCATCCAATAAGCAGCATTATCGGTGAAGTTATTCAATCTAGCAGCCATATTGCTCAACTCGACGTACCTCTTGTACAGCGGCTTCACTTTTTCACCCGTTGCTTTCCTCCATTCAACCCAGATGTACTTCAATTCTTCAGGATCACGGCTGTTCATCAAACGTTCCGTAAGCTCGGGTTCCAGTGCTAGATCACATTTAGTTTTGTTTTTATAATCACAGATTTTCGCGGTACTATATATGTTCTCCATTTCGCTGATGATTCTCTCGTATTTTTGGTAGGCCTGCAACCAATCAATAATAATTGATTGTGAAATAATAATAATAATAATAATAATAATAATTGCGAAAATTAGCTAATAATAATTAGCTGATCGCGTTCATCGATAATCCACAAATTGATATTTATACATTTATAACATACACCATTATAAAAAATACAATGAAATTAGAATTGTTTCCCATTTTACTTGTACTCTAGCGAATTTAAGATTCTTCTTCGACTATTCTATTTTAATTTTAGTTTCTTCGTATCAGTCTACAAAAATTTGCACAAAATACATGTAATATAGCAAGTTCGTTACATCTTCTGGAAGAGCTGCGGTGCCCAGGACGCTGAGTTTCGAGAATTGTCTCTTAATCCTTTCGTCCTGTAATTTCTCCCAAGCGAACTCGTTCACTTCTTTCCAAATAGCTTTCTGAACTTTCGCGGCTTCCGAAGAAACGTTCAACTTTTTCTCTAAATTTTCTGGAGTCAGGTCAGACGCGTAGTTCCATTCTGCGAGCGATTGTTTATTGCTCCATTCTGATTGCTGTTGATCGATTTTGTTAAGGAATTTAATGGCCCTCTTCAATAGATCTTCGGGTGTTTCTGCAACCTCGATGTCCTTGGCATCCTGGGTAGTCGGTATTCCCCATACCAAAGTAACGAAAGCTGCTACTAGCAGTCTGCAAGTAAACGAGAAAGCTAATTAGCCCAGAGATTTATTATATTAATATACAATTGTGAGTCGCGCAATCTTATCATGAATCAATATTTCGAACAGTTTTTCGTTCGACGAGTAAATAATAGAGCGCGTCCCACAAATCTTATCGAAATTTTAATTTCGAATTAACCGGTATTCGGCAGCAATCGTCCTAGCAAATTGTCCGAATAAATTGTTATTTTTTAGGGAGAGAGAATTGTTATTTTTTTTACGGTGAAAAAATTTTTCGACCACACAGTCTTCTCTAACATGAAGATCGCATTACGCGATATTAATTAATTGCTGTACAATCTTGCATCCTTTTGTTGGCATGCGTGAAAACGGAAGCGGACCGAATCTACGTGCAAACTTTAAATTGATCGTTCATGAATGGTACTTGTCCGTCCTTCGTCACTGGTGCATGGTCGCGAATAAAATCAGACTATCGTATTGTCGCGAGGTCGATTACAGATTAAAGCTGCTTTGGTTCAACGATTCGAAAGTTTTTCACGGCGCAGTCGCATTCGTTCAATGCGACTGCATCGACAAAAGTAGAATTGGTTTAAAGCCGTGTTCCGCGGAGATACTCTCGGTGCATTTCTCGCGAGCACCGATGTAGAAACGTATTTACAGCTTCGGCTCTGTTAAATGGCTTCTAAAAAAACGTCCTTCGAAACTTTCATCATAGGTCTCATGGCAAAACCGAGTTTTTATGCCTGGAAGGCATTTAGTAGATACGCGCGAGTGCACTATTTCGAGATGTACAGATAGAATAATCGGCGGAGAATGATTAAAAACAAAACAAATATCGGCAAATTATCTCTTCAAATAACGCTATCGTTATATTTAAAGAAATTTCTTTGAATAATAATCGACTAGAGATTTCTATATCTCATTTTTATAAATTCTTTCACAAAAACTAATGTGACGGAAACATCGATGACGCGACGCTGAAGTAATAATGTAATTAATGTTTGATCTCTTGTACTTGATTTATATCAATGCCAAATTATAATCCTATCAAGCCTTAATCCTTAGACAACTATACATGCACTTTTAAGAGACAAATGTACGTTAGTATTAATTAATCATTGAGTTCTTCTTAATCTTTTTTGATATTTTCTTTGCAATCCAGTTGCCCGCAGACAATTATTCAATATTTAATAATAATTATTATTCAATAGACTGAACTTCATTCTCTATTAATAGAATGTAGAATATTCGAAGGGGCTATTGAAATAAATTTATTTATTGAAATAAATTCTCTTGATTTTGTGGGAATTTTTGGGGTTGTAGTTTGGTAATGAATGTTTTAAAGAAAAGAACAAGAAAGAGAATGTATTTTTCATGTTTCATTATTACCATGTCTGATTCAATGATCTAAGAAAATGATGAAGTAATGAAACGGTAAATAATGATTTGTTTAACTTTAATCTTTGTGTATTTTTGTAAAAAAAGCTGGTGAATTATGGAAGGATTACAAATCAATCCGATGATTTCAGCATCTCTCTGTAGACACGGCGAATGCTTCGTTTCAAATTAATGAACGTAAAGCAAAATGAAAGTCGGAACATTTATTCTATGATCTACTTGTGTATACATATATAAAGCTTGTGTAATTGCGTACTCGGTTGATAAACTACGTTTATCGTGTGCAGCGTACCTATGGCAATGAAAGAGTTAAATTATAAGATGAGCGGTTGCGGTGAGTGCCTGCGCAGTACCGGAACGTTAAGGAGAATAATGAAATAATAGTAGTAAACATTTAAATTATAATTATTATCAGCGACGGTTTGATAATTCAACAAGATATTTTTAAGTAATTACACTAATTATATAGAGAGAGAGCTGGCTAGAGATATTTTCATTTCCATAAGATATTTTATAAAAATAGAAACATATATTTATAAAGATTCACAGTCTATGGATTAGAGATCATTTCTTGAATTTTAAGAGTCTCATACTTCGAACTCATTTAGAAAGTTCATGTAACGTGTCATAAATATTCATACCGGATCTATAATTGCATTTATGCAAACTTGTATTTTCGCGGAATGTTTCACAAAAATTAAAACCAAAGAAAAACGCGTAGTTAATTGTAGTAATTATTTCACCTGCTTAAAAATAAAATTTTAACTTATGACGGTTATTATGAAAAAGATATTCTACGGAATTTGCACTTTGTAACTTAATATTTGGATATATCGAGTATATCCGATTAAATTATACGATTTGGTTGCGTTATTCGATAATTATAAATCCGATATCACGAAGCACTTGAATGTTCGTGTTGCCTTATCTGCTACCGATACGTTGATACGTCAGTTAATTTCCTAACAATTACTGCTGTATGACTCAGGTATTTCAAGATTATATTGATACTGATTTTTAATTAACTTACTTCGCAGGAAAGTATTTTAAAGTATTAAAAAATCGCAGAAATAGATAAGTTGACGGTAAGGTATCGATAACCGTGATTATTATTATCGACCAATTTTAAGAAATAAAATAAATGTAAGAAAAGCTAACACGATTTTGCATTTTTTCAACATGCGACGCTTCTTCATGACATCTGCGGTTTTTCAACATTTGAAATGTCCGATCACGATTTCATGACGTTAGATAAAATGATAGCCATCGTTTCTATGTTAATTAAATCATAGCAATAATTTCATGAGAGCGAAATAATAAATCATTCATTACGTTAACCAATTCATAATCGCATACATAATTATTATAATTTTATTTCTTTTATTTATTTCTATTATTTTTATTTATCTATTGAAAGAGTTTTTTTTACGTTACAAACTATGTATTACTTCATACTTGAAATTCGACATAGTTTCAATAATTAAAACGTACAACTGCTTGAAGTTAAATTATTACCATGTCACATTATTATAATCCATTAAATAATTTCTTTTCGAAAAAATAATCACCGTTAAGATCTTATCGATTTTGTTGAGCAACATTTTAGAACTTTATTCGATTTAATTTATTTAATATCCATCTAAATTAATATCTAGTTAGCGATCGTTATCGATACTAGATCGATAGTTTGTACAATTACTATTTGTATATTATTTATATATTTATGTATTCTATTTTCTGTAAGAGACAACGTTGTCGATCATAAATTATTTATTAAGATCACTGGATTCTCATAATATACTTTTCGTTGCATTCTACATTTGTAGCACACATTTTTAGCAAATGCACTCGTATACAGTGCGAACAACTTTTTAACTTCCGGCTTGTTAAGGAAGTGGTATAGCAACGCTGCTATTCTCATATCGGTAGAAGGAATGACAAACTCGACACCAATAATATGATAGAGGACTTCGAGAGGAAAAATATGACTTCGTTCGAAGAACGTCGAATAAAAAGAAAAAAAAGTATTTTTCTGCGCAGATTCTCTTACTATTATCTATTGGTTTATAGTACCATTCCTTTTCTAAAATTGTCAAGAAAAATCACTTTGTCCTAAAAGTTCGTTTCGTTTACAATTAATACGATCGATGCAAAAATCCAGTATAGATATTTTTTAAAGAAGTATAAACCGAGCGTTTAAAAATAATTCAAGCCTCGCAAGGTAATAAAGCAATAAGAGAAAAATGATGAGACTGTGTGTTTAAAGAACTTTTAGGACAACCGAATGTTTCACGCACATTATACAAACTCGTGAATGGAATATTATTATTGGGCATATGTATATTTCAAGATATCGAAGGTAGCCATTATAATTCGTAAAATATGCCAACTTCGGATATAACGCCTACTATTTGGAATCGTGTTCGGAATGCATTTTTATATAAGATTCACCGAGCTCTGACAGCGTAACGACAACGAGAGTGTCAACGTTACGAAACACCGCAACTAAGAAAACATTTCGGTACTTCCTGATCATTGGCTAATCACTGTCACGCCTGTCGCTGTGACAGCTGGTGTACCGTTGTCCGTTTCGACGGTAAATTATCGTTTTCTGTTCACATATTTTGCGTGTACTCACAGTCGTAGCGTCATCGCGGCAACTGGTTGAACGCTGCCGATTCGGTTCGAACTCGGAACTTGTTGTTGTCGATGTTGTCGTCGATGCGAACGAGCACGACCAATCGAGGACTAACTTTCACAGGGCCCCCAATGTTCACCGCGGGATCGAGACTGTCGGTCGATCGCCGAGTGATCTCATCCCGCGAGATACGCTAACTTTTATGCAAGGTCCCCTACTCTGTTCAAATAGTGTTTTCCTGGCTCTGAACAAACTGGACATTAACCACTACAGACTCGTTCTGTCAGTTCCATCGTCGTGCATCGCGAGAGAGGAGGGTTTTAACAGGTTCAATATTTTTTTTCTTTTCTTTTTTCTTTTTTTTCTCTCTTGTTTTTGTTACTGGCGCGAAGCTGCCGACGGATCGGAACTTGGCGGTAATTGATTATCAGACGTAATGAACATATAATGATTTGTACGAAGAAGGAAGCTGGAAAACAACCAATTTTATGCCGTAGCCGCACCGGCTGAAGTTCGTGGCCGAGAAACGATTCTGCACTGTTTATTTGAATTGGCTACGAGTTTGTTGTAACGCGTGTTGCAAAATTATGGGTGCTGCTGTAATTTAAATTTGCTGATTTTGATAACATAATTCTATGAATTAAAATGAAAATTAAACACGAAAGAAGCGACGTAATTTTATTATTATTATTATTATTATTATTATTATTATTATTATTATTATTATTATTATTATTATTATTATTATTATTACTATTTTGCAATTTAGCAAAGCTTTTAATAGATAAGATTTTGAGTAAAGCGGAGTATCCGAACGTTCCATTATCTAATCTTTCTGTTATTTTGATACATTATCATCTAGCAGAGAACTTCTAATAGAGAATGAAATTTTTAGACGATAGAATATATTTTTGTATCACGCAATATCACAAAAATAAACATTCAGATAGGAGAGTCTCTATCGTATTTTCATTCTTATAAGTTAATGTAGATCAAATATGTCGGCGGGATGATATTCCACTAGAAACTTATTTAATTCGTTTAGGCCGGATGACGAGAGTCGTGGCGATTACGCAGGTAACGATAAGTTAATCGCTCGTGGTGATCATATATTGTTTTTCTGATTCGATCTCTTAATCAACATCTACGATCATCGACCGATCAGTTAAATAGTATACGACTGTGATCGGTTAATAGATCGGTACAGTTATAATCTTACAATTGTTAACTATTGCTGAGATTAATTAGTAATTATTGGATCGCTACATTTTTTTTGAATTTGTAGCATACGTGAAGATTTGTTATATTTATAAATATATTACTTATCGTTCTGCAATTCTAGACGAACGAATAAATAGAGAAGACGGTATAACCAGATGGATTAATTCTTACGTAAAATTATTCTTACCAATCAAATTACGTGTTCGTTGGTACGATTATTATTGCGAGTTGCTTTCCTTTTTCTTTTCAATTATTTTGGGTATGATTTACGACGATGGTATTTATAGAAATTGTTAGTGACATGGTAAATTTTTGGTGACATCGAGGACGATCATCGATGCATCGACTATTTCAATATCTCAGAGAACAGAAAGGGTGCTAAATAGCGAGATAATATGTACTGCCATATTCCTTCGCTAGAAGTAGAACAAATAAGCGATAGACGGACGCGCCAGCCGCTCGCATTGTACCGTTTGTCTGCGATTTCTGCGATTTCTATAAAAACGTGCATAAATCACTTTTATAAATCAATTAACGCAAATTGGAATACAATCAAAATTTAATCAATCCGTCAAGTGTTCCAACAAATAACATCGTGTTTTCATATTTCACCTAAATATAAAAAATACTTAACACGTTCCGTGCCGAGCTTTTTTTACTCGAATCTTCACACTTTGATATTTTACTAAAACTTGATGTATTACGTGCAATTATTAATTCTCGTACACATAACAACGTAACAAAAACTTATCAACGCCCATTCTTGCGGTGGAAATTGATTCTTCGGTTCTAAATTTCTTGTAAACAATTTGTTGAGTTCACTAAGTAAACATGCAAGCGTGTACCATCGATGGTACACGTGGCACGGAACGTGTTAATCTAATCTGGTCTAGGTCCGATCTCCTCGAAGATGAATATTTTCAATATTCTAACTTGTATTATAAAGATTATATATAAATTCTTAAATACGCCGACGAAGCATTTTTATGAATATAAATACACTTTCAAGATGACAGAAGAATTTTATTTATGTNCACTTTGATATTTTACTAAAACTTGATGTATTACGTGCAATTATTAATTCTCGTACACATAACAACGTAACAAAAACTTATCAACGCCCATTCTTGCGGTGGAAATTGATTCTTCGGTTCTAAATTTCTTGTAAACAATTTGTTGAGTTCACTAAGTAAACATGCAAGCGTGTACCATCGATGGTACACGTGGCACGGAACGTGTTAATCTAATCTGGTCTAGGTCCGATCTCCTCGAAGATGAATATTTTCAATATTCTAACTTGTATTATAAAGATTATATATAAATTCTTAAATACGCCGACGAAGCATTTTTATGAATATAAATACACTTTCAAGATGACAGAAGAATTTTATTTATGTAAATATGTAGTCACCTTTATCTTCGAGTATACGTTATTTTGAATACTTAATCGATCCATCGTGTTGGTTCTTTCCGGTCGCAGAGATTGATGGAACGACTACAACCGGGCAATGTCGAATGTCGTCGAATCTTGGAGATATATGCACATTGTACCGAATTGTATACGTAGATAAGGTCCACTTTTCTGAAGGCCTTTTGCAAATTCTTTCTTTTTCCTTTTTATACATATATCGCTTACCCCTCGAAGCGATATTAACGACCTGGTTGCTTAGCATTAATAATCGCCATCCGGCGGCCCTCCCGGGGCCAGTTTACATTCCTGATCCGTAGGATCCAGTGTCCTTGTTGTGTACACCGTAACGTCCTCCGGTTTCTTTTTCGACACGTGCTTTCGTATTGTTCTTAATTCTACGAGCTATGGCATCATCGCCGCTCGTGGTCGCCTCAAGGGCTCTTCTTACGAGAATCGAATAAAAATGTCCATGTTCCCCGGCACGTTGTACAACAGTTTCGCATACCGAGATCGTTCGTCTGCTACTAGGAAGCGTTTCAGGGTGATCGTTCGCCACAGTTGCGTATAATTTAGAGACAAAATTATTTTAAGCACTGCACTGTTCGGATGAAATGGTATTTCAACGGTGATCGTCGTGTTATTCATACTTAGGTTTCGAAATCATTTGTCTGAAATTAAAAATTAATTTTTACACCGATATAATAAATTTAAATTTAGGTTTCGTTTTATTAAATAAATAATATTCATATTTTCTTAATTTTCGCAGTTGCGCTAGATTTGTGATTTTTATTTTAAATAGAACGTAATATAAAATATTTTAATCTTGTATTTTAAATATGTAAAAGCGACTTTAATATTTGACAAAGTGAATTTCGTGTCGGTTTTAGTAAGTATGATTTAACGCGAACACAGCCACTTAGAACTAACAATAAGTACGCTGTAGTTTTTGTACAGCTGTTTAGATTGTATTTTTATATTACATTTATATTATGTTACATTATAATCATAATCACAAACGAAAATATTCATATAACTTTTTCAATGTTATACCCACGATTTAAAATAAAATGGACTGTCCACTATTTTCTGTTTGAAATAATACAGAGCTCTGTTTTGTACAATGGTAGAACACTCGGTAAATGTAATGCAATTAATCGTTAAAAAATGGTGTGTTTCACTTCACTAGGTATTCGTTACGTCACTAGTTATTAGAGCGCGAATGTCAATGTAAACCTGATTCTTTGTCAATGAACTATTTTGAAAAGTTCTCATCTTTTCTTTTTAAATTACTTTCTCGCTTCGGTATTCTTAATATCTCCGCTTTTATGAAACAAATCAGTGTGCACTAAGTTATGTCCATGTTGTTTTTACAATTTTAAATGATAATATTTTTATTAATTTAGCCTTATATTTTTCAAATAGTTTCGATTTTATTCGATATCAAGAAAAATGTTTAGTAGAAATAATATGATAACGTAATTTTATTATAATTAATAGTTTCTTATGTTAAAGACTTTGGTGTTTTTACAGATACTTGGTCGACAGAATATTCAATAGTAAATTCGCGTCATTAAAGAAATAAGAAATTTCAGATTTGAATTGAAAAACACGAATTTCACGTAGAAAGAAGCAAATCAAGTTATTACGTTGCAGGAGTCTCAGGTCTGAGGTTATTTTGAATTCCTTTTATTGTTGACGCTTATGTAGAACCTGTTACAAATGCCTTCGACGACGCATCTTCGATGCCACACCAATAGTATAGAATACCAAAATTTTGTCCTATCCAAGTTTCTCATGTTACTGGAAAAATTTGGTAAACTGTGAGGAAACTACATCGGATTTAGTAAATTTGATTAGCGTACACGAATAATCATTTTATTCTGCTTATATTTTTAATTACGAACAGTTTTTCCAATAGTGTTTATAAATTAAGATCACTTGAGTTGATTTAATCATGAGAAGAGCGCAGCTACTTTAGAAGAGCCACGGCTCGTATCTGTAGCAGCATACTTAAGGATTCATTCGTTCGTATATTTTTAGGTACAATTGATTTTACTAGTCGTTGGAGATCATTTTTGCTGTTAAGACGAGGCTAATATTAGCTTCTTATCGAATGTAACGAATTTCATATGAAACAGAGCTAAATATATTATACGAGTGTGAAAAAAAAATTGTGAAGAGCGTTTACGATAATAACGTTTTAAAAATATTCATTAAAAAATGTGGAAGGAAAATAGTGAGAGATCGTATAAGATTAAAATTCTAATAATTAGATCGAATTGTCCAGACAATAAAAAATACATAACTCTTTTTGTACTGAAATAGAATGCGTCGATAAAAAGGAGTCATTAATAAAATTATTTTCGGACAGAAATGATCGCATAAGGAAGAATGGCAGGCAGTGTTGGCTTCAGTCGATAAAGATAACGTGTTACGGTATTCATTTACGTTCAAGTTAACTAAGTAGGGTAAATTCACAAAATAGCGAAATAATAATTAATAATTTATATCTATTATTTGAGAAATAGAGAACAGATTTCAGGTTGCATGTTA